CTACCTGAACGGAATTCTGCTCTCATTTAAATGGGCTTTCACGTTGCTTACATCAGACGCATTCACAAAAAAATGGACTTCTTTGCTCTTCGTGATAAATTCAGCTGTCACTGGCTGCCAGAGGACAATCTGCAGTTTCAAGGGGGAAAATTGATAAAAACAAAGACAGTTTTTCACACCATTCTCGTCTGTAGCTAAAGCCATAAAAGGGTTTTTATAAGGGAAATAAAAAAGACATTCCTGGTGACTGGTCCCCATTTACACATGTGGTAATGTAAGCATTTATTTTACAGGGGGCTAGTTTTATTCTTTTCTGTAACCCCAGTAGCTAAAGAGGGCCTGGAACTTACTAGGTACTCAATAAATATTTGGCAAGGCAATGAACTAATGAATGAATTCATGAATGAATATATTTATGGCCCAACTGTAGAACTGGATGTGTATGTCACATGTTTAAAGAGAAATGAAAGTTTGTCTAGAAAGTTGATGAAATGTTGCTTTTCTTTAATAAAAATTCCATATCCTTGACACTATTATGCCTTTTCTTTAATCTAATTGCCTTTGGGAAATGTCTTCCCATACATAATATTTACATGTTTTTTTTCTATTTTATTGAGCTTTTTTAAAGCACTTTCACACGCATTGCCTTTGATCATTATAACAACATTTTGCCATAAACCAAGCAGGTGTTATTATTTTCATTGTTCAGATGAAGAAATTAAGGCTCGATGCTAAGTCGCCTAAAATCACACACCAAGAAGTGGCAGAACCAGATCTAAGTCCTGAATCTCAGATGCTTCCTCTGGCAGTAGTTCGTCTGTCCACGGTGTGGTGGCTGTGAGGATGCGCTGGGCAGCTCTTCTGTTGGGAGGGGCTTAGTTCACTAACCTTCCCCACCGTTGTCCCTCATGATTCCCCCCTGCCTTCTCCAGGGCTGCAGCCAGCCAGTGACAGAGCACTGCGGGTGTATTATTGCAGCCCCGTTCCTGCTAGATTATGGTCTCCTCTTACAGATGTCTTTGGCTTAAGGACTTATCATGGTCCAGGCAAACCTTCACTGGGACTGCCCTGTGGTCTAGAGGTTGTCCACACACAACCCTCCTTTCTGCACACATGTCAGAGCTGCTTGATGGTCTGGGGGGTACTCCCTGCCACCTCCAGCTCCCTCCTCTTCATCCTTCACAAGCAGCCCCCATAACAAGTCTCACACATCTCTAATATAGTTGTGACCTCTGCTTCTCACAGAGCCCTAACCCAACAACCATGGAGCCATCAATATTCTATCAGGATATTTTGTAATGTATCAGTTTTCTATTTTCTGGGGAGTTGAGTCCCAGGCATGAAAATTTTAATAAATTTTCCTTTGTATTTTTGATGCTTACACCTTGGCTAAGTATTATTGCTTTTTAAACAAAGATCTATTGGATTTCTGTTACTGTAGCATCTTTTTAAGTACCCCCCCCCTTTTTTTTGGTGCTGAAACCCAGGAATGAACCAGTAAGTTCACACTTTCAATGCCTAGGTACTGTCATGTAATTTGCTGAAAAGCCAATAGCATAAATGAAGAAAGTTTGATTTAGGGAACCAGTAAAATCATGTGATTATGGGAAGGAGGAGAAGGGTACAAGGAGAGGGGTTTATACCAGCTGTATATAAGTCAGACGACATATAGGAGAGAACATGGTACACCAGACTTGTATAAAATATAAACAATAAGAAGATAAATGAGGGAGAAGTTACCTCGTATGTTGTAGTAGTATTTTGCAGAATTTGAACTTGCCTGGAGGTTCTAGGAAGAGCAGATAAAACCTGGCCACTGGGGGAAAAAATAAAACAGGAGTTTGACCTTAAACAAAAAGTGAAAATAAGATAAATTATATTGGGAGGGGCTCCTAGGAAACTGTAAAAAGGAAACAAAATGTTGAAAGAAAAGAGGATCTCACCACAGATTTTAAAATAACCTTAGATTTTGCTTCCAGTCAAGATGGAGAAACAGGGACCAAGTTTACCCTCCTGCTTGAAACAAATAAAACACTGGACAATGTATGTAAAACAATGTCACTCAAGAAATTGAATATCTGTAATATGACGAAACACTGTATCCTGGATTGGGTCTTGGAACAGAATCGTGGAAAAACTGGTGTCATCTATAAGAAAGCCTGCAGTTTTGTTAAGAGTAGTGTACCAATGTTGGTTTCTTAGTTTTGATAAATATACCATGATAATATAAAATGCTAACAATGGGTGAAACTGGGTGCACGGTATAGAGAAACTCTCTGTAATATCTTTGCAACCTTTCTGTAAATCTAAAAATACTTCAAATAAAATTTTATTTAAAAAATAAAACAAAATCATGTACTGAGAACTCCAGAAGCACAAAAGTTTATGATAATTTCTGCTTGTCATTATGAGCAAAGGCTTCATGGAAGAGGTAACTGGGTAAGTAAGCAGTGTAATGGCAGACTGGCAGGAGACAAAAGGGCATTGTTGGGGAAACGGAAAGTTGTTTATTTTTGCCAAGTGTAGGATTTAGGTATTTAGGGCAAGAGAAGAATGGAAGCCAAACAGAAGTGAGTTTGGAAACTTATGTTAGTTCTCCCCTAGAGAAGTTTTCCAATGCATGCTGAGAAATTTGGCCTTTATCTAGCAGGCAATTAGGAGTTAAGAAAGTCACATCATTTGACTTGTGATTTACAAGAATAATTTTGATGCCAGCGTGGAGGATGGTTTATTTTGGAAAGCCTGATCAAAAGATTCTAAACTCTGGAAATAAGCCTATGGAGACTTGATTATCAAAAAAGAGAAAGAGGAGCTCCCAGAAACAATAGATTCAGAGATTTGGTGCCAATCACTGGTACAGTTAAGTGTAAACTATTCAACTAGTGATAAATGACATATGTCCAAGGATATGTATCACAAGATGATTCATAGTAACAATAACTGGGAACCACATGAGCGCTTATCAGTAACAGAATTGTTGAATGTTGGTGATGTCTCCACATTCTAGAATGTTTTGTAGCCATTATAAAGAAAGAGTTAGTTAAAATAGTTAACTTGGGGGAGATTTATGTGAGGCATTAAGAGAAAGAAGCAAGAAGTGAGTGGAGAATGGTAAGAAATATTATCCCATTTTTGTAAAAAAATAAGTTAGAAAGAAAAAGGAAACTTATAAGTGTTAAAAGCAGGAGAAAAGAGCTTCATCCATGAGAGAGCAGACAGCAGAAGCAAGAAGAACTACAATCCTGCAGCCTGTGGAACAAAAACCACATTCACAGAAAGATAGATAAGATGAAAAAGCAGAGGGCTATGGACCAGAGGGAGGAACAAGATAAAACCCCAGAAAAACAACTAAATGAAGTGGAGATAGGCAACCTTCCAGAAAAAGAATTCAGAATAATGATAGGGAAGATGATCCAGGACCTCAGAAAAAGAATGGAGGCAAAGATCGAGGAGATGCAAGAAATGTTTAACAAAGACCTAGAAGAATTAAAGAACAAACAAACAGAGATGAACTCTTTCCTGGGGTGAGGGTAAGAAAAAAATAAGCCCTTTGAACAAGGTATTTAAAATATACCAGAAAAAAAATTTTTTTTAAATGTTCATATCCTTTATTTATTTGAACAAAGTATTTAAAATATACCAGAAAAAAAATTTTTTTTAAATGTTCATATCCTTTATTTATTTATTTAGGCTACACCATGCGGCTTGTAGGATCTTAGTTCTGCAACCAGGGATTGAATGTGGGTCCTCGGCAGTGAAAGCACAGAGTCCTAACCACTGGACTGCCAGGGAATTCCCAGAAAAATGTTTTTAAATACCTCTGTATAAGGCATTCCACTCTTCCCACCAAACCCAACACAGCATTGACATAGTTAGGTTCTCCATTTGCAAATTGTGCCTACCCAGCCTCTCCACTCTGGACCTCAAGTTTGCTGATGCAGGGCTGATGTAGGAGGCTGGAGGGAGGTGGTCTAGGTGGAATAGACAGAGGCAAGGTAGGAGAGAGAAAAGAGAGGGTTGCAATTTTAAGATCCCCGTCAACCAGCCAGGTACATCGATTCTAGAAGCACACTGAGTTCTGGTTTAACTAACTGGAAAAGAACAGATGCTTTTGAAGATTCAATAGAAAACTTTCTTATTACTTAAGCCTTAGATGTCTTAAAAATATGGATATGGTTCTTAACAGTTTCTGGGCACCTAGCCAAAGACGATAAAAAATACTTGTATTAAGGAATATAGCAGCATACTCCTATGAAAGAATAGAAGGTATCAAGGGATTTGTACTACTTGGAGTATATTATATTGAAAAGAAAGTGCTCCAAGGGGTTCAACTAACAAATATGGGGAAATGGCTCTTAGAGTATGATGTGAAAGCTTACTGAGGCCAATTGAACACTGATATCTTGCTTAGGTTCCCTCTAGAAAAATCGGAACCTATAAGTACTAATAGGAAAAGAAACCAGTTTCTTAAATATTAAAACACAGGCATTATCAACATTATTATTATTACTATTATTACTTAAATAGGTTCTTTCTGAGAGGAGTAAAATGCACTTAAACACTTTATTGTGAACTAAATATAAGTGAATAAATTTCTTTAATTCAGCGAGATAATACGGCGACCATTCCGTAAGAGCACAATTAGGATAATGGTCTAAGGAGACATGATTAATTGGACTGTTAATTTTTCTGTGGCAGTTTCAATAAAAAGGCCCTATTTTTAATTTCCTGTTGTTCCTTAGAATGCAGTGTTACTCCTAACAGAGATACTCTTAGCTATGGACAAACAGGCTGCTTAGAGGCAATTTCCAAAATACGACGCAATCTTCCCAGGGAAGATATCTACAAAAGGATGAATTACTTCTGTATAATCAACCTCATTGTGATTTTTTTTTTCACCCTCTTCCACTAATTTTGATTCTCTAATAATTTCCCATGGCTGAAACGGCAAAGCTCGTTAAACGAAAATAGGAATTTTCGAGAGAAACGTGACAGCTTACCTCATTTAGTGAGTGATACTGTTCATAGTAGGAGGAGGAGGCCCGGGGGCTGATGCTGTCATTGGAAGTCTGCTGCCGGATAAGATCTTCCACATTTTCCAACAAGACCCTGGGTTATGAAACAGGGCATGAGCTGGTTGCCAAAGAGGGCTCTGATTTTCCTGCATGGCCCATTGCAGGCACAACAGGTGAGCAAGGGGGAAAAGTCACTAAGAAATCTAACAAGCCCAAGGTGAAAACACCGCCAGCTAACATTATGATGAGCTGAAATACACAAGCCCTCTGGGTAGAGCCTCATGGGCATTGGAGGGATAGTGGCTCCTATGGGGTATGTTTTCAGGGCCTCCAAAATCTCACCCCTTCTCCAACATTATGAACATTTCTTGACTGTGACTCATTAGTGTGTTTTATGTGAACATACAGGTTAATGGACAATGTTCTTCAATCCAGAGGAACAATGTATTATTCTGTTTTCAGTTAAGGACCGAGGAGAAGCAGAAAGCCTTCTCTTTTTATTTTTCCCTGTGAGTCACTGACCTACACCAGATGCATGTATAGGTATATATAAGCATGTATAGGTTCTGCATGGCCAAAGTTGGTCAAATCTCTAGAGAAATAAGAGCACAGGAACAGGGAAGGTACAGAAAGGTGATCTCATTTAATTTCTCTTGCAAAGGATCACACAGTTAACTAGGCACAAACATCTTAATTAAGACAGCCTGAAGCCATTCTGTTACCTGGGATGAACAATTGAAAGTTAGCTGTCATTCTAATAAAGCTTTCTTTACTTTTACTTAGGTCAGGGGGTAAAAGCCAAGCCTTTGACATCAGAAAGGTCTGAGTATGACTCCTAGCTCTGCCACGTTCCAGCTAGCTGACCTTGAGAAATTCCTTTGAAAATTTTTTTTCATACACACAATGAGGATAGTATTTACCTCACAGGATTAAATAAGGATTAAATGATACAATGTATAGAAAGGCTCAGCACCTTTCCAGGAAGGCAGAAAACACCAATAACATATTATTAATAATAATCATAGTGTATTATCCAAAGGTTGCCCATTGATACACAGAAGAAAGCACGGCCTCCAGGAAGTGACAGGGCAGCAGAGGGACACTGGCGCTTGGGCAATGGATACAGAAAGGAGATGTGGACAGGAGACTCCAAAAGGAAGAAGGCATGGACTCTGAACAGAAATCATACCTAATGCAAATTTTAGTTTAGGGCCAGACATTCCAGAATGTTCACTGACCTTGTGAAGGAAGCAAAATCTCCTTCAGTAGCTGCTTTTTCAAGAGACACCACAAAGCCTACTAAAGTGAATGACAGTTTTGCTCCCCGAGTCCAGGCACAGGGTGGAGGAACTATAAGAAGGAAGCAACTGGGAGGAATGGTAAGAGCCTCCTCAGATCGTTGAGTCTCACAGTGCTTTGCAGATAAGGGACCAAGGTCATGAGAGGTAAACCACTTGTCCAGGGTCACAGAGCTAGCCCCTTGGGCTTCATCACCAATCCGTTCCAGAGATTTCCATGTTGCCATGTTTAATGTAAATATTTTTTCCAGGAAGCAACGACACCATCCACTAGTAAAATGCATCATAGGTGCTTAGAATAGCTGCTCAGTAAATATGGAATCATGCCTCTACCTGAACGGAATTCTGCTCTCATTTAAATGGGCTTTCACGTTGCTTACATCAGACGCATTCACAAAAAAATGGACTTCTTTGCTCTTCGTGATAAATTCAGCTGTCACTGGCTGCCAGAGGACAATCTGCAGTTTCAAGGGGGAAAATTGATAAAAACAAAGACAGTTTTTCACACCATTCTCGTCTGTAGCTAAAGCCATAAAAGGGTTTTTATAAGGGAAATAAAAAAGACATTCCTGGTGACTGGTCCCCATTTACACATGTGGTAATGTAAGCATTTATTTTACAGGGGGCTAGTTTTATTCTTTTCTGTAACCCCAGTAGCTAAAGAGGGCCTGGAACTTACTAGGTACTCAATAAATATTTGGCAAGGCAATGAACTAATGAATGAATTCATGAATGAATATATTTATGGCCCAACTGTAGAACTGGATGTGTATGTCACATGTTTAAAGAGAAATGAAAGTTTGTCTAGAAAGTTGATGAAATGTTGCTTTTCTTTAATAAAAATTCCATATCCTTGACACTATTATGCCTTTTCTTTAATCTAATTGCCTTTGGGAAATGTCTTCCCATACATAATATTTACATGTTTTTTTTCTATTTTATTGAGCTTTTTTAAAGCACTTTCACACGCATTGCCTTTGATCATTATAACAACATTTTGCCATAAACCAAGCAGGTGTTATTATTTTCATTGTTCAGATGAAGAAATTAAGGCTCGATGCTAAGTCGCCTAAAATCACACACCAAGAAGTGGCAGAACCAGATCTAAGTCCTGAATCTCAGATGCTTCCTCTGGCAGTAGTTCGTCTGTCCACGGTGTGGTGGCTGTGAGGATGCGCTGGGCAGCTCTTCTGTTGGGAGGGGCTTAGTTCACTAACCTTCCCCACCGTTGTCCCTCATGATTCCCCCCTGCCTTCTCCAGGGCTGCAGCCAGCCAGTGACAGAGCACTGCGGGTGTATTATTGCAGCCCCGTTCCTGCTAGATTATGGTCTCCTCTTACAGATGTCTTTGGCTTAAGGACTTATCATGGTCCAGGCAAACCTTCACTGGGACTGCCCTGTGGTCTAGAGGTTGTCCACACACAACCCTCCTTTCTGCACACATGTCAGAGCTGCTTGATGGTCTGGGGGGTACTCCCTGCCACCTCCAGCTCCCTCCTCTTCATCCTTCACAAGCAGCCCCCATAACAAGTCTCACACATCTCTAATATAGTTGTGACCTCTGCTTCTCACAGAGCCCTAACCCAACAACCATGGAGCCATCAATATTCTATCAGGATATTTTGTAATGTATCAGTTTTCTATTTTCTGGGGAGTTGAGTCCCAGGCATGAAAATTTTAATAAATTTTCCTTTGTATTTTTGATGCTTACACCTTGGCTAAGTATTATTGCTTTTTAAACAAAGATCTATTGGATTTCTGTTACTGTAGCATCTTTTTAAGTACCCCCCCCCTTTTTTTTGGTGCTGAAACCCAGGAATGAACCAGTAAGTTCACACTTTCAATGCCTAGGTACTGTCATGTAATTTGCTGAAAAGCCAATAGCATAAATGAAGAAAGTTTGATTTAGGGAACCAGTAAAATCATGTGATTATGGGAAGGAGGAGAAGGGTACAAGGAGAGGGGTTTATACCAGCTGTATATAAGTCAGACGACATATAGGAGAGAACATGGTACACCAGACTTGTATAAAATATAAACAATAAGAAGATAAATGAGGGAGAAGTTACCTCGTATGTTGTAGTAGTATTTTGCAGAATTTGAACTTGCCTGGAGGTTCTAGGAAGAGCAGATAAAACCTGGCCACTGGGGGAAAAAATAAAACAGGAGTTTGACCTTAAACAAAAAGTGAAAATAAGATAAATTATATTGGGAGGGGCTCCTAGGAAACTGTAAAAAGGAAACAAAATGTTGAAAGAAAAGAGGATCTCACCACAGATTTTAAAATAACCTTAGATTTTGCTTCCAGTCAAGATGGAGAAACAGGGACCAAGTTTACCCTCCTGCTTGAAACAAATAAAACACTGGACAATGTATGTAAAACAATGTCACTCAAGAAATTGAATATCTGTAATATGACGAAACACTGTATCCTGGATTGGGTCTTGGAACAGAATCGTGGAAAAACTGGTGTCATCTATAAGAAAGCCTGCAGTTTTGTTAAGAGTAGTGTACCAATGTTGGTTTCTTAGTTTTGATAAATATACCATGATAATATAAAATGCTAACAATGGGTGAAACTGGGTGCACGGTATAGAGAAACTCTCTGTAATATCTTTGCAACCTTTCTGTAAATCTAAAAATACTTCAAATAAAATTTTATTTAAAAAATAAAACAAAATCATGTACTGAGAACTCCAGAAGCACAAAAGTTTATGATAATTTCTGCTTGTCATTATGAGCAAAGGCTTCATGGAAGAGGTAACTGGGTAAGTAAGCAGTGTAATGGCAGACTGGCAGGAGACAAAAGGGCATTGTTGGGGAAACGGAAAGTTGTTTATTTTTGCCAAGTGTAGGATTTAGGTATTTAGGGCAAGAGAAGAATGGAAGCCAAACAGAAGTGAGTTTGGAAACTTATGTTAGTTCTCCCCTAGAGAAGTTTTCCAATGCATGCTGAGAAATTTGGCCTTTATCTAGCAGGCAATTAGGAGTTAAGAAAGTCACATCATTTGACTTGTGATTTACAAGAATAATTTTGATGCCAGCGTGGAGGATGGTTTATTTTGGAAAGCCTGATCAAAAGATTCTAAACTCTGGAAATAAGCCTATGGAGACTTGATTATCAAAAAAGAGAAAGAGGAGCTCCCAGAAACAATAGATTCAGAGATTTGGTGCCAATCACTGGTACAGTTAAGTGTAAACTATTCAACTAGTGATAAATGACATATGTCCAAGGATATGTATCACAAGATGATTCATAGTAACAATAACTGGGAACCACATGAGCGCTTATCAGTAACAGAATTGTTGAATGTTGGTGATGTCTCCACATTCTAGAATGTTTTGTAGCCATTATAAAGAAAGAGTTAGTTAAAATAGTTAACTTGGGGGAGATTTATGTGAGGCATTAAGAGAAAGAAGCAAGAAGTGAGTGGAGAATGGTAAGAAATATTATCCCATTTTTGTAAAAAAATAAGTTAGAAAGAAAAAGGAAACTTATAAGTGTTAAAAGCAGGAGAAAAGAGCTTCATCCATGAGAGAGCAGACAGCAGAAGCAAGAAGAACTACAATCCTGCAGCCTGTGGAACAAAAACCACATTCACAGAAAGATAGATAAGATGAAAAAGCAGAGGGCTATGGACCAGAGGGAGGAACAAGATAAAACCCCAGAAAAACAACTAAATGAAGTGGAGATAGGCAACCTTCCAGAAAAAGAATTCAGAATAATGATAGGGAAGATGATCCAGGACCTCAGAAAAAGAATGGAGGCAAAGATCGAGGAGATGCAAGAAATGTTTAACAAAGACCTAGAAGAATTAAAGAACAAACAAACAGAGATGAATACAATAACTGAAACAAAAAATACACTAGAAGGAATCAATAGCAGAAAAACTGAGGAAGAAGAACGGATAAGTGACCTGGAGGACAGAGTGGTGGAATTCATTGCTGTGGAACAGAATAAAGAAAAAAGAATGAAAAGAAATGAAGACGGACTAAGAGACCTCTGGGACAACATTAAATGCAACAACATTCGTATTATAGGGGTCCCAGAAGGAGAAGAGAGAGAGAAAGGACCCGAGAAAACATTTGAAGAGATTATAGTTGAAAACTTCCCTAATATGGGAACGGAAATAACCACCCAAGTCCAGGAAGCACAGAGAGTCCCATACAGGATAAACCCAAGGAGAAACACTGAGACACATAGTAATCAAATTGGCAAAAACTAAAGACAAAGAAAAATTATTGAAAGCAGCAAGGGAAAAATGACAAATAACATACTAGGGAACTCCCATAACGTTAACAGCTGATTTCTCAGCAGAAACTCTACAAGCCAGAAAGGAGTGGCATGATATACTTAAAGTGACGAAAGGGAAGAACCTACAACCAAGATTACTCGACCCAGCAAGAATCTCACTCAGATTCGATGGAGAAATCAAAAGCTTTACAGACAAGCAAAAGCTAAGACAATTCAGCACCACCAAACCAGCTCTACAACAAATGCTAAAGGAACTTCTCTAAGTGGGAAACACAAGAGAAGATAAGGACATACAAAAACAAACCCAAAACAATTAAGAAAATGGTAATAGGAACATACATATTGATAATTACCTTAAACGTGAATGGATTAAATGCTCCAACCAAAAGACACAGGCTTGTTGAATGGATACAAAAACAAGACCCATCTATATGTTGTCTACAAGAGACCCACTTCAGACCTAGGGACACATACAGACTGAAAGTGAGGGGATGGAAAAAGATATTCCATGCAAATGGAAATCAAAAGAAAGCTGGAGTAGCAATAATCATATCAGATAAAATAGACTTTAAAATAAAGAATGTTACAAGAGACAAGGAAGGACACTGCTTAATGATCAAGGGATCAATCCAAGAAGAAGATACAACAATGGTAAATATATATGCATCCAACATAGGAGCAACTCAATACATAAGGCAAATGCTAACAGCCATAAAAGGGGAAATCAACAGTAACACAATCATAGTAGGGGACTTTAACACCCCACTTACACCAGTGGACAGATCATCCAAACAGAAAATAAACAAGGAAACACAAGCTTTAAATGACACAATAGACCAGATAGATTTAATTGACATTTATAGGACATTCCATCCCAAAACAGAAGATTACACTTTCTTCTCAAGTACACATGGAATATTCTCCAGGATAGATCACATCTTCGGTCACAAATCAAGCCTCAGAAAATTCAAGAAAATTGAAATTGTATCAAGCATCTTTTCTGACCACAACACTACGAGGTTAGAAATCAATTACAGGAAAAACTGTATAAAACACAAATACATGGAGGCTAAACAGTGTGCTACTAAATAACCAAGAGTTCACTGAAGAAATCAAAGAAGAAGTTTACAAATACATAGAAACAAATGACAATGAAAACACGATGACCCAAAACCTATGGGACACAGCAAAAGCAGTTCTAAGAGGGAAGTTTATAGCAATTCAATCTCACCTCAAGAAACAAGAAAAATCTCAAATAAACAATCTACCCTACACTTGAAACAACTAGAGAAAGAAGAACAAAGAAAACCCAAAGTCAGTAGAAGGAAAGAAATCATAAAGATCAGAGCAGGGGCTTCCCTGGTGGTGCAGTGGTTGAGAGTCCGCCTGCCGATGCAGGGGACCCGGGTTCGTGCCCCAGTCTGGGAAGATCCCACATGCCGCAGAGCGGCTGGGCCCATGAGCCATGGCCGCTGAGCCTGCGTGTCCGGAGCCTGTTGCTCCGCAACGGGAGAGGCCACAACAGTGAGAGGCCCGCGTACCGAAAAAAAAAGATCAGAGCAGAAATAAATGAAATAGAAACAAAGAAAACAATAGCAAAGATCAATAAAACTAAAAGCTGCTTCTTTGAGAAGATAAACAAAATTGATAAACCCTTAGCCAGACTCATGAAGAAAAAAAGGGAGAGGATGTAACTCAATAAAATTAGAAATGAAAAATGAGAAATCACAACAGACACTGCAGAAATACAAAGCATCCTAAGAGACTACTACAAGCAACTATATGCCAATAAAATGGACAACCTGGAAGAAATGGACAAATTCTTGGAAAGGTACTATTTTCCAAGACTGAACCATGAAGAATTAGAGAATATAAACAGACCTAACATAAGTAACAAAACTGAAACCATAATTAAAAATTTTCCAACAAACAAAAGTCCAGGACCAGATGGCTTCACAGGCAAATTCTATCAAACATTTAGAGAAGAGCTAACACCGATCGCTCTCAAATTCTTCCAGAAAATTGCTGAGGGAGAAACACTCCAAAATTCATTCTATGAAGCCACCATCACCCTGATACCAAAACCAGAAAAAGATATCACAAAAAAAGAAAATCATAGACCAATATCACTGATGAACAGAGATGCAAAAATCCTGAACAAAATACTAGCAAACAGAATCCAACAACACATTAAAAGGATCATACACCATGATCAAGTGGGATTTATCCCAGGGATGCAAGGATTCTTCAATATACGTAATATACGCAAATCAATGCACACTAACAAATTAAGGAGTAAAAACCATATGATCACCTCAATAGATGCAGAAAAAGCTTTTGAGAAAATTCAACACCCACTTATGATAAAAACTCTCCAGAAAATGGATATAGAGGGAACCTCCCTCAACATAATAAGGCCATAGATGACAAACCCACAGCAAGCATCATACTCAATGGTGAAAAACTGAAAGCATTTCCACTAGGATCAGGAACAAGACAAGGATGTCCACTGTCACCCCTCTTGCTCAACATAGTTTTGGAAGTCCTAGCCACAGCCACAAAGGAGGCAAGAACATACAATGGAGAAAAGACAGCCTCTTCAATAAGTGGTGCTGGGAAAACTGGACAGCTACATGTAAAAGAATGAAATTAGAACACTACCTAATACCATACACAAAAGTAAACTCCAAAGGGATTAAATAAAGCCTTAAACGTAAGACCAGACACTATAAAACTTTTAGAGGAAAACATAGGAATAACACTCTTTGACATAAAGGGCAGCAAGATCTTTTTTGACCCACCTCCTAGAGTAACAGAAATAAAAGCAAAAATAAACAAATGGGACTTAATTAAATCTAAAACCTTCTGTACAGCAAAGGAAACAAGACAA